AAAAGAAGAGAGAGAGGAGGAATGAATAGGAAAAGGGATGAAAAGAAGAGTTAAACTGTGTGATGCCCCCTCATGAACCCCACACAAGAGCTTGTAGACACTTTGCACTGCAAACATGCCCTGGTTTGCAAAAATGCCATTTCGGAGCTCAGAGAGAAAACTAACTGATAATATCAATGATGCCAATAAATTACTCTTGTGTCTCTACAGCATTTTTAATCCAACTGCATCATGATTGGTTTTACTTTTGCTTCTGTGCTGGTAGCCATGTTGAGGTGATTTATTAATATTTTTTAAAGATAAGCAAAGTGTTAAAAACTTCAGTGATTTGATTTACTCAGCCATCTAACATTTTCTGAACAAAATAAAGCAGAATCAGAAACCTGGGCTCTGTGGAATTCCAAGCCACCTGAGCTAACAGGATCTGAAAACCTCAGGGACGCTAGACCAGTGTAAGGTTTTTGATAGGGGTCCTGCCACTGTGTGTCTTATAGTCTAACGAAAACCTTTGGCAAAGGAACAAAACTTGTCGTCACAGGTATGTATCACGGTAACCCATTTACAAGGTAACAGAGTAAAGACAAGATAGTCCTATTGAAAATGTAGAATGGCTAGAAAAAATGGAGACTATGAGGGAAAATCATTGTAAAAATCTTAGGAGTGATGGTAATAGAAATCCTTATATAAAGATATGCGGGCTGGGGAGATATCTTGGTGTTCTAAGCACCTGCCTGGCAAGGACATGGACCCAGGTTCAAGCCATGGTACTGCATACTGTGCTAGCCCTGGAACCCCAGGTGTGCCGTGCTGACCACTGAAGCCGGGTGTGATAGGCATATCTATAATCGCAGCACTGGGGAGACTGAGACAGGAGGATCACTATGAGTCCAAACTGCATAGCAAGATCCTATACCAAATGCACAAATAAATAAAAGATTACAACATTTTTTAAAGAAAGAAATGCATTGACAATGGCTTTCTGTATATATGAACTGCTATACAGTGATCCCATGTAATGTATGTGATGAAATCATTGATGTATTAACTCTGGGACATGGTTCTTCGTTATGGATTAAATCTGTGGTGGATTCAGTAGAGCAAGGCACTCCCTTTCCCTCATAGCCAAATTCACTGTGGGAGAGTCTGAATGTGGCTGGTAAGAAGACCTCCAGCTTGAGCTCCATCATTAATAGGTTAATGCACATAAATGATTATTTTTTGGGCTCAGTTTCCTACTCCACAAAATGGGTCAATACTGTGAATTCAGCAAAATTATATGAGAATTAAATATGATCATGTAAATAAATGAAGTTGTTGGTATGCTGCCCAATGTGTATTCTAGTTTAAAAGCTAAGAAAGAGTATTTGACCTAGTCTAGAGAGTGGTTTTCAGCCAAAATGCAGAGAAGAAATTCTCTACAGGATTGAGCTGTACTTATAACTGCTAGAATGCCTGGTATCTTCACTTCTGCACCAAATAGGAGTCGGGAGGTATTTGCATCTCTTTAGATAATTCATCAAATGTCAGAAAATGAAGATACAATGTGCTTTTCAAAACTGTTACTGCTCTATGCACTGTAAGTCTTCATCTTTTGTGCCAATTGACAATGGTCAAAGCATCAATAGTCACTGTTCCCTAAATTTTGAGCCAATGAGATTAGGCTTCTCCCCATATTTGAGAGAAAAGAACTTCAAGCTCATGTAGAAAATAGTCAAGCTATAAAGCCATTAAGTGTGGTAGGAAAGTTTTCATAAATCTGAAATGCATATTTAAATATTATAGAAGTTCAATTATTTGATGAAAGCATAGAGAACACTGGAATAAATCATGTGTAGCTTCTCAGTATAATACATTCAATAGACATAGTCACTGATATTTGGCAAATTTATATACAATTCATATTCCTGCCTCTTAAAGTATAAACAGATCATTTATCTCAAAATATATTGTTTGATTAGGAAAATAAATACAGATAATGAGGTGGGCAGATTTAGCTGTGGTTAGAATAAATAAAATATATGGTAGCTGTTCAATTCAATAGTCAGATAAAGTAGTACCCTGTCAGTCTATGCATAGTAAAAAAAAAAAAAGTCAACCATAGGGGAAAAAATCTATTTATTTAAATTTAGAAATCATGCTAAAATGATCTTGCAGTACAAAAAAAATAAAAATCCAAAATATAGATACTAATCATGCATGGTCAAATATACTATTGAATGTTCAGCTGACTATTGCACTGGAAAGATGCAAGTTAAAAACTCATTTTATCCTCAAAAGCATGAAACTTTAATCTTTCTAAGGAAGAGATAAACAAGAGGCAATATAACCTTCAAGTGAAAAGCAAATTAGAAAGCTCCAATGGTTGTAAGTCATTAGACTAAAAATGAGTATGTAGCCATTTAAGATTTGAGATACATATTGTGCGTCTTGATAAACACACAGTGTTTGGTTTGTTACACATTTTGACATTGTGTCTGCTTATAACTCCTGAATCGTAAATGTTAATCTTGCAGCCATTATGTATACACTTTATTCAGTAGGAATGATAAAGAGAACAGAGCAACTCTGACCTGAAAGAGATAAGCAGTGTTTGGGGTAAATACTGATTTTGAGAGAGGTGCTGAGAGTCTGGATGGATGTGCAGTTGTGTATAGACCTTGGGGTCAATTCGTGTTAAATAGAGTATGAAATATATATCTCTGGTGTATGGCAGGTGACACGAACTTCAAAAGAATTTCCAAACTAAAATATGTATTTAGTGGACATCAAGGAAGCAAAATGAATTTTGGGTAACAGTACTTCCTGTTAAGAATAATACAAAAGCATTGTAAAAATAATCAATAAGATTTTTATTAGAACTCTCGACAATGTTGCTATTTTGCTTCTGTGATATAGTAGGAACTGCAGCTTTAAACAGTGCCTAACCCGAGTGCCGGAGGAGTTCAGAGGTGAAAGTGCGGTGTGTCACAGCAGAGTTTAACTGGTAGAACTCTAGAAATGTTGACCTAAGTATGAGTTCATATTTGAGGCAAGGAGATCAATTTGCTAGATTGCAGGTATCTTTGGGATGAGATTCTCATACAAAGATGTGATAGCATATTTCTTCAAAACTAAAAGCTAAAAACTTCCCTTGGTTATCATTTCCACAACAAAAGACAGAGTGCCTCCTAGAATCAGCCACATGAATTTGGGTTAAATATGGCGGCAGGACGTGAGGATGACAGTTCTTGGCCAGAACAAAGGACAAAGGGTGGGAAAGCAATTCTTTTTAGAAGAAACCACAGATCCACATCTCTAAAAATACCATCCAAGTAACGCCTCCTGCCCTTTCACTGACACCCACTGT